ATCAGAAATAGATGTCCTTGAATTTTAATATCAAGTCCTCTATTCAATAGCTAAAGTCTACCGGGCAAAGAAGCTCTTGACTCAATGTTACTATCAATCCCTGAAGTCTCTCCACTAAGCTACTCTATGTTGCAACATGCTATATGAGTCCCCTCCACCTCTGCCTTCTGCCACCACGCACGGCAATAATATGGTACTCGGACCTCTAGGCCTTGATGTCAGAATGATAGAAGAAGAAGAGCGGCACATGCTGACTTAGGTAAGTGGTCTGGACCGCATATGATGACATAGGTCTAGAAAACCTATTTATGTTATCAAAATAGAAGGCAAGTCTTGTGTTGCCTCATGCACTGATAGAGGCCATCACATGAACCTTATCATAGATAGAAGCCCTGCCTCATGAAACAATATCTCTGACTCATAGATAAGCAGATTAGAAGTCAGCTTCAGGCTGAGCTTAGATACAATAGAGTAATCTTATATAAAGTCAAAGATTAAAGTAGATGTTCTTTACTTTAATCTTACTTGGTTTTACCTCGAACTCACTGTTTTGCTAAAGCTACCTGCTCAACATAGCCCCCACTATAATTGCCCGTAATACCTTGCTTACTGACAAGCACCCTACTTGTCAACCAGCAAGCTATGCCAGTATATGCAACCTTTGCTTGTCTGTAAAGGCCGACATCTCTCAGCACTTGGTACCACTATCGTGGTTGTCGCTGTTAGAACTATCCAAGTCACACACGACTACTTTGTCATAACACTCTAAGTCTTAGATAGATGTAAAGACAACACAAAAATTCTAGAATATGTTTTGAAAAAAGAATACCAAATATTTAGAGAAAATAACAAAAGAAAACAATTTGAACAACTGAGGCTGTACCTTGCTTGCTAGTTGTTAGACATAGTGAGCTTATAGTTGGTTGTTTGGTATGATGAGCTTGCAGTATTTACTGTCTTTTGAAAAGGTACCTCTTAATCTTAAACAGTTCTTGATACTGATGCTGACACCAATCACACCTCACTCACAATTTTGAGTGTTGGATAGGCTCAAAAGAACATTATTATCAAAAACCAGGATCATTATATATACAACAAAAGTGGCTGTGCTACTGTTATATTAAGATTTCTTAAGAGTCATTCTAGTCATACTAAATAAGAGTGAGTCATTTCAGGTTGATGAGTCTTTGGGTATAAAGCTGAGTTATCTTAGCTTGTTCTAGGACCTCTTTAGGGTCCTGGTTTAGCGATTTTTTTATGCACTGGCAACCTTATACTGATCTTACCGGGGTTTGACGGTCCAGATTTCCAAATCCTGGAAAGGCAGGTATTCTTAGTCATCTTGTCATTTTCTCATCATGTCGCTTTTTGACTCCTGTTCCAGCCCCTTCACTGTCCCTTATCTTGGAACTATACCCCTGTCCACCATTGTGTATCTTTCATCATGGCTTCAGCCTCATCTTCATTTTGTGCACCCTCACTTGCAAGTCTGTTGGTGTGTCCTGTTTCGTTGGTCATCTCGGATCAAGAGCTTCCTGATGACGGATCCTCAGTCATATCTTCCTGCATTTTACACAAGTTTTTCAGGTTTCATGAGGTCTCTCGAGTGTGTTGTGCTGTTCGGGATCAGTATCCTGTTGGCCATGTCCTGCCTGTAACTGCTCCTACTCTGCAGCATGTCGTGGAGAATTTTCCTTATATGACTCGTGAGAATTATATCGCTGTGCGAACATCATATCGTAAAGAATATATTTGATTCGTGACATGCTGCATGTCCATGTTTGTAATGCCGATTGTGTCAACATACTCATTGTGTTTTCGCTTTTGAAGAATCCATGTCGTTATTTTTCCCATCAAATGATGCCTGATCCGTCTTTTAAGAAGTCTCCTGGCTTTAATCCCAAGTCCGCGCCTTGTATGAAACAGACACATCGCATGCCTGAAGCTGCATCAGAAAGGCATGATGACGAACACCTGTTTCCCATTTTGCTTTCCTTCGATGACAAGAAAAAGATCATAACTGAGTGGCAACAACACATGTGCGCAGACTCTTTGCGACATAGCACCTGTGCATGTTGCGCACACAATGTTCCAGTCCATAATTTGGTGCTTGTCGAGTTTAATGATGTGCCTTTGAATTTGCTCCGCAATGACTGTTTGCCCGAGCACACTTTACCTATTTCTTATGCTCTGGAGGTATATGAACATGCAATACTATATTACAAGGGCTTACAGGATCCATGGCGTAAGGCCAGTCTGTATTTATGTCAACCTTGTCGAGCCTCATTGACTGCGAAGCAACCGCGTCAACCTGTCAATGCTTTGGCAAATTTTCAATATTATGGCTATGAAAGACTTCCGGTGGACGTTCGCTCGGCTTTTTTGCAGGCATCGGTGTATGATCTCATGTTAGTGTTGCACGTGCGAGCATCTCAAATTATTCATCATTATGTGTATAAAACAATGGGTGGGTAGTATTGGACTGCTGAAGACGCTTCTCAACGATATAACAAAGGAAATGTTGCAATCCGTGCACAGGATTCCACTGAATTACAAACCTTATTGCCACCCACTCCTGATGAGTTACTTGACACTATGTGTGTCATTTTCGCCGGTCACAAGCAGGTGCCCACTAGAAACACTGTTAAATCTATGCAACCTGTACTAGTCACTAAAAGTGTAGTGCATCGGCTAATTCATTTCCTTCTCGAAAACAATCCATGGTATCAGCGTGGTGGGATCTGTTATAGTCAGGAAAATATGGACAATTTATTTGATGCAGCAGATAGTCATTTGGATTGCGCCATTCCGAGTGCCTTGCAAATCTGTCATATTCCGCCAAATGCTGATGATTCAGTTGACGTTGAGCTTGATGAAGATATATCTCTATTGGAAGATCGTGCATCAGTTGCATCAGCAATGGTGGATGGGAGTGATATTGTCTTTGAAGCCGTGGGATATACGAAAGGTGATCATTCTTCTGTGAGTTGGGAGAAGATGAAATTGCATGCATTGGCATATGTCCTAGACCAAAAGAAGTTTTTATTGTCGTGGACTGGTTCGCAGTATCTGGCAGATAACAACCCGGGTCTGATGTCTTATTTGTTCCCGCATTTAGACCCTTGGGACATAGGCAGTTTTTATCATAGTGGGCATACTCACCAACAGTATCTGTCCATGGAAGCACAGGTCAAAAATTTATTGCTCCAGGATGATTCAGTGTTTCAAAAAGACTCAAACTTTGTGTTCGTTTGTTGGAATATGATTCAAAAAAAAGAAATTAGCATGAACACTTCTTTTCATATAAGTCCAGCCCTTCAGAATAATCTTGCTGCTGAATTAAAGGAAGTAGCGCCGTCTTTTACCACCTTAGCGGAGAAGTGGAGTCAGTCTACCATGACTTCTCCATCTACCACAGAAGAAAAGAAAGCTGCGCACATTTTGCACAGATTACAAGCATCTACAAAAATTCTCAGAGGGAGTTCAGGTTATAAGTTGTGTCATTGGAATGAGATACGTGCCTTGATGAAAAAATTTGGTACACCTGCACTTTTTGTGACAGTGAATCCTCACAATCTCACGAGCAATGTGGTCCCCATGCTTACAGGCATTGAATTCAATGAATGGCAACTGATGAGTTCTTTTGAGCGAGCTAAATTGGTTGCCGCACGCCCGGATGCAGCTGCTGTCACATTCAATATACAAATTCGAGCCTTTTTGGACATAATCATAATGTCATATCCCGCATTCCAGACCAACATCCGACGACGTTCCCACGCCTCATCCGGACCTCCGGACCTCCTGTCCATGTCTCCAGACCCAATCCTCTATCCGTCCGGATCCCTGTACTCCTGCATCTGATATCCGGACACCAGATTCGATATCCACATCTCCGGATCTCCGGATCCGACCTATCTGTCATGTCCAAACCCAAACCTTAAATCAGCGCCCATCCCCTTATGGTAATCACCTGTCTCCGGACTTCCTAACATCCAGATCCGACCCACGTCTATCTTCCGTGCCTTATCCCTTTGTATGTTCCTTCTTGAGTTAGACTTCCTCATTTTCCGTACCTCGTTTCATTTCCGGCTTTATTTTCCTATGTCTTCATCTCTGTCTTCATTTACTATTTTCTGATAGACTAGTGTTTGACTTTTCTACATCCTCCGTCCACAGCCTCGCATAGCTTCGGACTGCGCTGACTGACTCTCCATTAAGTCCTCTGTAGTATATAAACTCTGTAGAATCTTGGTACTTCCTCAGTCTGAATATCATACACATATTAGTCCTCGCACTAGTCTTCACACTAAGTCCTCATAACAGTTCTATTCCTCCGACTTAGTAATCATCCATCTCAGGCCTAGGGAGGAATTCCCTAGGCCGGAGCTCCGCTCCTCCGCTCCTCCGACCCTCTGATCCACCATTCCTCCGATCCTCCAAGTTTCCGGAAGTTCCTCCGGAACTTTCCCGCGGTCCTCCGGACCTATTCTGCTTCAGACTTTGTCCTTGCAGCCTTTCCTCTGTTTCCTTCTACTCAGGACTTGTCCTGAGTAGCCATTACACATATCCCCGTCAGGACGAAACTCCATCGTAATTTCTGGAAGTTCCTCTGGAACTTTCCCGCACTCATCTGGAAGTTTTTCACACTCGTCCGGAAAGTCCTTCCGAAGTTTCCCACGCTTCTCCGGAAGTCCTTTGGACTTCACTGGACTTTCTCCGGACTTCATTCTGAAGTTAAGGGCACATACTCGGGTAAGGGGCGCAGCGCACGAGCTGAAGCCAAGCCCCTTGGAATCAGTCCTACCCTTTGTGCACGGTCTTAACACATAAGATATAAACATGGCCCAGGCATATTCGGACACTGTCAAGCTTATTACGGAATGGTTGAGGCGCAAGGAAGGGGTACATTACATTGTCATATGTTGTTGTGGATTGCGGGCAGCCCTAATCCGCAAGAATTATGTGATAGGATGCATCATGATGATGATTTTAAAGGTGTCATGTTTGCCTGGTTAGAAAATATCATCAGTTGTGAACTACCACATGATAAAGGCCCCATACCAGAACATTCAGCTGCAGACACCAAGAAACCACTTCGTCCTAAGGAAGATATAGACCCTCACTTAGACCAACAACCGCAAGCGACGGAACTAGACGATCAGTCTTTTGAATATGAATTTACTGAATTTCTGAGGCGATTAGCAGTAGAGTGCAATTGGCATATGCACAATGACACCTGTTATAAGCACCTTAAGCATGGCAAAAAGAGAGGGGATGCTAATTGTCAAATGAGGCTTGATGGCACAGTGCAAGAGCAAACAATGTTAGATGTCGAGACTGGCTCCATTGAACTTCGTTGGTGGTGGGGCCATATAAACAATTTTACAGATTTGATACTCTTTCTGTTGCAATGTAACACGGATACACAATTTATTGGGTCAGGAGAGGCAGCGAAAGCGGCTGTCTTTTACATCACAGAATATATCACAAAAGGAAATGTCCCGATGTATGTTGGGTTACAGGCATTGGACTTCGCTACTAAGATGCATGATGCTAAGTATATCAATGCTGAGAGTGTGAATGAGGCTCACAAGCGTCGAAATTTGATCACAAAGTCTGTGAATGCCATGATGGGCCGCCAGGAGACCTCACATCAACAAGTCATGAGTTATTTAGTGGGTGGCAGGGATCATTATACTAGTCATACCTTCAAGCCTTTCAAGTGGTTTGAATTTGTCAATGCTGCCACTAAATTTGAGCACGATGCAAAGGTGTTAGAACCGGATGATGTGGCAGACAATGAAAGCACTATAACACCTGCAGAAGCCATCACTGTCAACATTTTGACGCATGATGTTGAATTTACAAGCGACTTACAAGATTATATATTACGACCGAGTGATGTGAACTTTGCCAACCTTACCCTCTGGGAATTTGCAGAATCTGTGATCAAAGAGAAAGGGAAACTCGATGTTGAGAGCCACGACGACGGGAAATCTGATGATAGCCTCCTGGTTGAGGATTAAAATCCGAAGAAACGAAGATGCAAGAAACTACAATGAGCAATGTTTTTAGAGGAACACACCCAATACGACACTCACTACATGTGTTTACATAGAAAGCTGGTGATTCCTGTGTTACTTGGAGGCGTGATCCCTTGATCAGATGGGACAAATGAAGACCATGAATTGCACTGTCGTGCAATGCTGATGTTGTTTAAACCATGGCGCAAGTTTGAGGATTTGAAGTGTCACAATGACACATGGGCAGAGTCGCTTGAGCAACAAGCATTTGCGCCTGAATTATCTAGGGTTATGCAAAATATGAATGTAGAGAATGAGTGCAAGGATGCGTGTGACACACACATTCAAATGATAAGCATGAAGGGTGGATACTCATATGCTTTCGGGCCCACTGGTGACAGAAATGATGATGTAGAGGAGGATATCGCAGCCTTTGACGAAGCATTGTTTGCCAATCCTGCATTAGATCCTGATGAGATAGAGAATATTGATCAATCTTTCATAGTGAATAACGAGAGTCAGATGCCCAAACATAACGGCGACATTCTGGCTTGTCTGTGTTCAGCTAAAGATGGGGGTTTGCTGGTAGCTACTGAGGACCGAAATGAGACAGAGGCTTGTGATACAAATCAGGAGATAGAACAACTGACTGAAAATACACAAGCGTGCATTCAAGAATACACGTCTATCATGAAAGCTGCCAGAAAGAGAAAGTGTCCTCTCAATGTTGGTGCTACGGAAGAAGATGGGAAACATGTGCACTTGGCAGACACAGAAGGTCAACCTGAATTAATGTTAGAACAAATGGAAGACAAAATTGAGTTGACAAACATATATCATCGACCTGGGATTACGCAAACATGAAAAAAAGAGATATTATGTGAGATCATCAACGAATTTCACTTAAATGAAAACGCGGAGCAGGAAATGAGCTTTAGAATCATCAGAGAACATTTTATTGCAGACAATGTGGATCAATTGATGATGTTCATCACAGGGATTGGAGGATCAGGTAAAAGTCATGTCATCCGTGCCACAGTTAAGTTATTCAAGAGATGTGGAGCTCCAGAAAAATTGACACTTAGTGCACTGACAGGGAGTGCAGCGGTTCTCATTAATGGGTATACCATACATGCTCTCACTTGTTTGCCAAAGAGACAAGCACCCATTAAGCAAGATGAGCTAGAATTTATATGGCAAACAGTACAATATCTGATTCTCGATGAGGCGTCATTGATGTCTGCGGAATTATTGAGCCAAGTCTCGCATCGCATATGTCAGGCTAAATCTTGGGATGAAAGCGCACATGACAAACCTTTTGGAGGGCTGAATATGATTTTCTCTGGAGACATTGGTCAATTGCAACCACCTAAATCAAACACTTTATACAGTTATGCATTAGTGAAACAGTTAGGTCCTGTGATGAAACAGACGATTACAGGACAATCGAGTTTGCATGGTGCCTTTTTGTGGCGCCAGGTGGACACCATTGTAGAACTAAAACAAAATTGGCGAGCTAGGGATGATGCCGCTTTCGTTGACTTGTGAAATCGGATTCGAGTAGGCAAAGCTAAAAAGTATCCAGACCACCCAGATGATCAGACAGATTATGATATGCTGAAAACGTGATTGCTCAGCTCGATAAAGACATGTTCACAGGCGGAATTTGAGGGCTTTAAAGATGCTCCAATCGTAGTCACTAGAAAATTTTTGTGGGACGCATTAAATGATGCAAAAGCATGCAATTTTGCTGTGAAATCACACCAGAAATTCGAAGTGTATCATGTGCATGATAAAATCAAGGGCAAATATGCTACGATGGCACAGCAACGGTGATTATGGAAGTTAGAAACTTCTGACACTGGGGATGCTATTAGTAAGTTACCTTTGATCCCGGGCATGCCAGTGATGATCACGGAAAATACGGCTACTAGTTATCACATTGTCAATGGCAGTAGGGGCATTCTCAAATCCGTCACTTACGATGTCGATGCTGGACAGATCAAATTTGCGGTATGTGCCTTGGTTGACATCCCAAACAGCGCCCTATCTGTACCGGGTTTAGCTCCTGGTGTGGTGCCCATCTTGCCAATAACAAGCAGTTTTGTCTTTGCTACAAGTGAAAATAAGTTTAATGTGAGACGCACACAACTACCTATATTACCTGGTTGGGCGTTTACAGACTTTAAGATCCAAGGCAGCTTTATCCCTAAAGTGGTGGTCAATTTAGCCAGTGCAAAATCGCTGCAGAGCATTTATGTGATGCTTTCTCAGGCGAGTTGCTTGTGAGATGTTGGCATTTTGTGGTGGTTTTCATCTAAAACACTCTTCAATGTACTGCAAGGTGATGTGCGTGAAGAGATGAAGAGGTTAGAGCGAGTTGCAGCAAAAATGCGCGAGAGATATCTAACGCACCATAGTGTTCAATAATTATGGTGAACTTAGCCCCATGCTACGGTGTGTGGTCTTGACAGACATATACTGCGAGGCGATACACGAGAAGAGATGCAAGGGTCAGAGGGAGGTACTACAAGAAAACGCGAAAAATCTGGAACGCACCATGGTGTTTACTAAATTATAGTTGACTTAGCAGTAATCTATCGCCTGTGGCATTCACAGACTTGTCTGTGCATATGGAAGAGAGTTGAACCGATATCGAACGACGGTCGGTGGAAGGATTGCTGACCATATTACTTAACCCAATTCAGGTGCGTCTTTGCATCATTGGAATTTGCTGACTGACTTCAAAAATTCACATGATCACCGAAACCATGTACTGCTAAGTGTAATTATTTACAACAGCCGACATTCAGTTTACCTGCTTTCACCCTGCCTCCAAGCAAATCCAACTTGTGAACTGCTGCATATGCAGCCATCACGTCCTATATGGCCCAATCAAATGTAACGGACATTCTTACAATTTGTACATCGGTGAGCGCCCATGCTTTTTGACTGGCGGCAACTCCCCTCCCTATCAAGCTCGGCATGGCCAAACCCTGTGTTAAGACCATGCACAAAGGGTAGGACTGATGCTGAGGGGCTTGGCTTCAGCTCGTGCGCTGCGCCCCTTACCCAAGTATGTGCCCTTAATTTCAGAATGATGTCCGAAGAAAGTCCATGGACATCTGAAGGACATCCGAAGCGCGGGAAAGTTCGGAAGGACTTTCCGGACGAGTGCAAGTAACTTCCAGATGAGTGCAGGAAAGTTCCGGAAATTACGATGAGGTTTTGTCCTGATACAGATACGTGTAATGGCTACTTAGGACAAGTCCTAAGTAGAAGCAAACAGAGGAAAGGCTGCAAGGACAAAGTCCGAAGCAGAATAGGTACGGAGGACTGCGGGAAAGTTCCGGAGGAACTTTCGGAAACTTAGAGGAGTTTAGGATCGGAGGATCGGATGAGCGGAGGAGCGGAGCTCTGGCCTAGGGAATTCCTCCCTAGGCCTAAGGTGGATGTTAACAAGGAAGGAACTAGTTATGAGGACTTAGTGTGAAGACTAGTGCGAGGACTAATATGATATTCAGACTGAGAAACTACAGGACATATACAAGAGTTTATATACTAAGGAAATAACGGAAAGATCAGTAAGCAAGAGTCCGAGGCTATGTATGAAGCATAAGCAAAGTTATCAAGCGCGAGTCGGAAATGAAGCATAGGTTTAACGGATCAGTAAGCATACCGGTAGTAAGTATAACCGAGATACCAAGGACAAGGAATACCGAATAGAGGAATAGGCTGTGTTAATGTTATATGCACAGGAAATGAATTAAGAAGCTTATCGTATATCGGATCGGATCGGATCCGGATGAGAAGTGTGGATATATGGGATATGACTTTAGGGTGATGGGACAAAGGATGAATGATGGCTAGCTGCGGAGGTATGGAGGTCTGATGTATGGAGCTAAAGGGATCTGGATGTGGATGTGCGGATGTGGATGTGCAGAGGTGCAGGGATCCGGACAGATAGAGGACTGGGGACATGGATAGGGTGTCCAAAGGTCCGGATGAGGCGTGGGAACATTGTCAGATGTAGGTCTAGAATACGGAATATGACACCCCTGCCTCATGACTGAGTAGTAGAGGACCACTTCCCTTGCCACCACACCCTCATATTGTGACTATTTCATTGGGCTCACTCTTTATCTAGATTATGTCCTGACCAGCAACTGCTGCTATGCAAAGTCGCAAGGTGAAGTCATTCCTTCCATTGATCTGCATCACAAACACTAACATTGCGTTCTCTCGGTTGTTTCAGCACTGAAAATGTATTCCATTCAAATCCAGGTCAGATGCGGGCCTTGCATTCAAGCCCTCTTGCCATTCCTGTATCCTATGTCCTGTGGACCGTCCTGACTACCCTGCTACGATATGCAATGGAGTGAGAAGCAGAAATCCCCAATAGTTTGCCTTCTTCTCCTCATGGCCTTGTAATATTTCGGCTTATTTGCCATATAATCACGACATGGAATATCATGTGAGTAATTGAATATATCGGATGGCTGACTGATTCTGATGTGTCACGACAGCGTGTTTGATCATGATGTATGTCAAAAAAAATCTACTATGTATGACACATGTTGATTAATAAGCTACACAACATAGGTATTATAAATTGAACCTTGAAGACATTGAACATGCTTGTGGCTATCATGTCTTTTTTATCAGGTGTATGGAATGATTGACTTCTGGCGAAGCATCATGTCGTTTGATACGATGATAGAAGAAAATGATCGTATGACATACGAACAGTGGCCTACATGATTATCAGCAGAGATTCACGGACTACAAGGACCTGGCAACTTAGAAACTTGAGAACTATTCCCTGTGACATTGCAACAAATGGCTCGATGGGCCGATGTATATAAAGACCCAAGTCGGAAGGACCAAGCAAGAAATAGATTATTAATCTACAAGTGTGTGGACATGGAGAAAACACCTAACACCATTTATCCGGTAGCATTGCGCATACATGGAATGCTACGAGACTTTAATGTAGACAGATTCAGAAATTGGTCTGGGTGCATCGTGTCTTCTCAGAGTCTGAGTTATGTATAATCTGATGATCGTGGATAGAAGTTGCAATGACGCGGTACGCACAGTACAACACATCATCTTAGACTCTGGTGGCCATCAAATACCCTGGGTTAGTACGATTCAATCGATTAATCTGGCATGCAAGTATGTGAGCAAGCGACTCCATATTCCTATGCAGGAACGGCAACCACACCAATGTCTGACTTTCCAAAGGCGAGTTTTTCACAAGGTAAAGAAAACCTAATTGATCACGAATAGTACTGAATACTTATATTCTAGCGAGAAGAGCCTCGTGAATCCAAAGAATGTGTGTTGTCGATTGCGGACGATCTGGAAGGCAAGTTTATATGCCTACAGAAGGACTGGAATGTCGCATGTCTGCTGCGTGTAGGCGAGCTTAACAAGCAAGGAACTGTAACACCCATCGACACAATAGGGCTCAACGATGGGGATTTTGTGGAAGTTGGTGCTGAATTGGACTTTGTGATCCACAGAGACCGCAGCAGGCAGACGAATCTGAAAGGGTTTCTGACTTGTACTTACATGGTGCACTTGGTACCAAAGCAGCACATTCAGATTGAACCTCAGGTGAGTCGGTACATTCGTCTTGATGATGCTGGCAACTCATCATATAACACAGAACAACAAGCGTGGTGCATCACCGACTGTAGAAAGGCCGATGAAGAAGATCCACACCACAATAGACTTTGATGATGACGGTAGTGTATAAATATTTAGGATTATTTGTTTGCAAATAGGGGGCATATAATATAAGGTGCAATGTGACATTACCCTGTGTGTCTTTCACTTTCATCATGGTCAAATCCAAACACGACGCTGTCGAGGACAAAGAAGATACAATGCTGGCTAGGCCGAGTAAGAAAGTCAAGGTGTGTAATGCAGGCAAGTTTATCCATCCAAGACATAGATGATTTGATAACAACTGTCCGAAATAGGAGACACATGCAATGCCGCTGACAATGGTGACGATATTGCACCTAGGGCAAGCATTACACAAGAGAAAGAGTAAGTCTCTTTCTAAGAAGTGTATGCACAAGTCATTGATAGGATGTGATTATTATAGAACACCTGACATCGAGACCGAGAACATAAGCAAAGTACCCCCATGAGATCAGTCAGATGTCCGTGTGGCACCCACAAACAATTATACTGTAAAACGGGGTAGTGGGGCGATGAAACCAACACTGACAGTTCGGACAGCAATTGCCAAGCTGACCCCAATTCTCATAGAAAAAGGCGAGGTACAAGATTATGGCGAACTGTTGAAATCATGAGTGTCAAATAGGACATATAGGAATGCGTAATAACGTTGAGAGAATAGACGGCTCCATAAACTTTCTGGCTACACTAATGAACAGGCGCAAGTATATGCTCTGGGCAAACTACTGCCAACTGCGACATGGGGCCCGCAACGACCAGAGCAAGGTATTATGTGATCCTGCAACAGGGGAACCTCTCACAATCTGGGTCATTGGACATATCATGTGGAAATTGTTCACCAAACAAGGAAAACCGGAAAACTAAGCATCCATCACCGTCCTTCCACTGTCACAAGCTCTTGCATGACAGAGCGCGCACTTGTTAGGCAAATTTTCTGATCCCGTGTTGCGTATGTTGATTCTGGCTTGTGTACACCACGTGATTCTGATCGACTAACAGCGATAAACCAACAAATGACCCACAATGTTAGAGCCATCAAGTGGCAGAACGCAAAAAGCAATGACGAACAAACAGAGGTAAGATATCCCCACTTTATTGAGCATGTTGAAATATATTACAAAGGCCATGCTGTTTGACGCAGTATATGATGCGAGGAAGGACAGGTCCCTCAAGACATATGATGAACAGCCACTATGGAACATAGCGGATTTGAAGGCCGGTGACCTCATTTTATTGGAGATGAGGATGACCCGATACTCCAGAAAGGCGATGATAACAAGTGGCAATCGAGAGCCCAGTAGATGGTCGCGATCTCACTCCTCAACATTGGAGTGACGATAGAAGAAGAGAACCCTGGAATGAGTAAGATTGACGGTTTAGCTATTTGAAAAAAATATGGAGTTTAGAATTCACATGATTTATGACGTGCATGCTGAAATGACATCATGAAAGTCTGAAATCTCGAGGGGTAAAATTCAATTCAGACGTATAAATAACGAAGGTGAATTCAGCTGATATCCAACCTCATTCCGATGAAGTGGACATGCCCGAGTTCAGATGTGGATGCATTGCACTTCATAGAGACAACACTACCTGCAAGAGAGCCTGAACCTTGACGTTATGGTGGTACATCAGGAAGGGATGGAATCCAGTGCAGGAGGCTAGTGAGAAAAGGTTTGTGCAATATATTGCCCAACTATGACGACATATGTAAATGCAATGGAAAAAGAGGCATGGTGTCTGGAACCCAAATGGTGTGGCCATCATTCAATCAGAACCCAACATAAGAACAGAAAGGCTACATGCGAGCATGAGATATTGACCTGGTTCTATGACAATGACATGACACACCTCGCCAAAAAAGCATCAACAAGAGCTTTTTCATCTAACGACATGGATCGCACGAGCTGAGGATTGTGGCCTATATGTCTAAGCACTAGTATGTCTCCACGCCAAGGATTCAGAGAGTCCGTGCAAGAGAGATGAGCACTATTGAGGGGTAACAAAGGATCTTGAGAAAGGAAGACAACACTATAAGCATCACGGAAAAGACTAAGTGAGGAGCCAGGGAAGCGATCAATGAAGACCGTAGATGGAGGAGTGCCATGAGAGTTAGAAAAATGCGCTCCACCAATCCACATATGCACACGTATGATACCATCCAAATCTTGAGGGACATATGTCAAAATGGCTTCGTCACAAGCAGTGCCATAGAACAAAGCCCTGTGGTAAGTACGGCTGTGCTGAAAAAGGATAAGTAACATGAAAAACAAAATGATAGTGACGTCTGACAGGTTCATTAGTGAACATATGATTCTCTATATCATATACGTCAGCGGCGGTGGTCAAATGGTGAGAATAAATTGATGGCATGTTAGTGGGAGGAGTCAAAATGGGAACGGTGACACAGACATGAAAGGTCATAGAACTGCAGCATGGGATGATCATGTCATGAATTGAATTGAAAGTTGATGCAGGCAACACAGGCGAATATAAAGGAGAGGCCAGCCTCCCCTGAACACAAAGGTTAAAGTGGATCACAGATAAGGAAAACGGCCACACTCACAATATGGCTGCTCAACTGAATAATTCCAATGAACGGCTCATCACTGCTTGCCTATTTGCATTCAGCGATTGCAATGGAATTCTGGAAGTTACAATCCGCGACAGTGCCAATGGCAGATTTGTCCTCACTAGGACAAATCACTACTTCAGAGCTGTGGAAAACATGAAGCAGTACAAAGTGAAGATTAATAGCGAGGAGTTTGATGAACCTACAATTTTCCATGTACTTTACGACAAGACATTGCATGGAATGCCAATATGCCCTTACATGGTATTCAAGGCAATGGCAGAAGGACACGCGCTAGACCTACAAAGAGAGGATTATATGGCGGTGATGAAGGCTGTAGAACAGTAAGTCACGCTATGGCTTGTCAAGGTTTGCTAAATCAGAGTGAGAATAGATGCCTGAGGCGCGTGCCTCATCATGACGAAAGACAGTCGAGGGAAGCAATGTAGCGAGGATGATGATAAATCGATGATGATGCAATCATGTATGACAACGAATAAATTTGTGCAGGACGTTAACATGTCCCTATTATTAATGGAGGGAAAGGAGACAGAAGAAACAAGTAAAATAAGACGGACAGATTGCGCATCCCACAATACAAATTCCTATCTGTGCATAACCATCACAACCAGACATCACCACACAGAAGTATGAGCGGAGGAAACAGAAACTTCGATAAGCTCTACACAGAATTGCAAAGGATGATCCTGGAAAAATTATGGCTGCCGGTGTAGAGACTGACATCTCTGTGGCCTCGTAGAGGTCTAATTTCCGATGCATGTCAATGCTAATCATTACCCGAATCATTCCCTATCATATCCGACTCAATACGCACCAAACCCGAAAACATCAGACATCGGACATTGGACTTCGCATTGGACTATCGGATATCACGTGTACTCGTCCTACCTATGTCCTGTCTCATTGCGCTAGCCCCACTAGGTGCGTAGTTACTTGTTGTCACATCGCTAACATAGTAGACCACATTATTACATGTCCGCAGCACCTCATGTCTTATTACATAGGACATCGGACCCGAAAGTATTGTGCTACTACTTTCGCCTATAGGGCTCCAGATTTCTATGTATCTACATAAATATTGGACTCCCCATAGCATTACCATCATCCAAGTAGAGGAGAGCCGTTCTCCAACACTTAGGGGTCAAACCCGATATTTCGTAGTTCTTAGTTGACATTGCGAATATCATCGTTCCTTCACTGCCCGTATCCGTCATCGTTATTATTGCGCACACCTCTCGCTTTCCCGATGGACACACGCCGCAGGGGACTGCTGAAAACCTTCGTGGAAGATGTGGATGGATTCATGAGATTAATGGAACACATGGGAACAGTGATTTTGGGATTGAGCGCACTCCACCTAATCCAAGCGAAGATGGAGGCACTTGAACTGAATGACCTGGATGTATATGTGACACATGAATTCGACAAAGAAGTAGTGAAGCATATGAAAGGGAAAGGTTATGAAATGAAGTGGGAATCTGAGAGGAAGACAGAATATGATGGTTCAGCAATGAAGAAGATATACAAATTGATGAAGAATGAACGTGAGGTGGACATTATCGTCACCAACTGGGCCGGTGCCATCGTACCCATCGTGCAATATCACTCCACAGCAGTCATGAACTACATGACGGCGCATAGCCTCGTGTGTATGTACCCTGAGTGGACGAAAAACTGCCAGAGTTTGGTCAATCCGCAGATGTATCTCAACAATGGGACAAATATATGCACCGTGATGGCATTGATGAAATATGTCCGAAGGGGATTTTGCATGAGTGCAGATCCATTCAAATTCAGCGTGCACAACTGTAACATGAGCGGGTACTGTCCAAACGCAGTGAGGAACACAATTGACGGAGATACCATGCGATGGAACTTTGAAGAGGTGAAGATGGTAGGAAGAATGACGGTGACTTGCAAGGACATGGCTGTTGTGATTTGGCGGCTGGGCGGAGGAGAGTGTGAGGAAGACAGCGATGAAAAGAATCCTGGTTACATTGGAGTAGGGGCGTGAACATATGCAGGGCGATTTAGTAATAAGTAGACAGAACAGAAATAAACGGGACACGTGGGCCTGTAATTACCTTGCGAAGTCACCAATTGAAACTGAATTTGTATCACTCATATACAATGACAGATGAATGTGCTAATGCACGGGTTGCTTCATTGGCAGCATATGCAGAGAACGACCAAAGATGCGGTGTAGAGACTCATGCCTCTCATTGTGTGATATGGCAGTTTTCACTAGGGAGTACACAGCATGAACTTGCAGCATCACTCTGTATGCTATCCGCAGCTATTCCCTTACGAGGCGCAGCTATCCCACTCAATGCGCAGCACGCGCGCACGACTTCCCGCACTTTACGATGTATATGCGCGCGCGCTTTCCCGCGCTTGAGCGCCCTATAGCGCCAGCCATCCAGACGCATCCATCCACTGTCCACCAAGCTCTCTAGTGCGTATGTTCCCATTTGCCCTTATTTGCATATTGTTCCACCTTTATTTTTATCATGGACCCTTACTTACATACATATATCTTTACATACCTTACTCAGTAGCGATTCGGCTCTGCATGACAACGCTTAGGCGCCATATAAGCGCCAGCATTACATACTATTATGGACTTTCCACTTTACCTCCCACTTACCCACTTACTACCTAGCAGAATATAGTTGCAATCTATTCCTTGGCACCTCGCACTCACATCTCTTGTCTTGCATCATATCACCACTTAAGCAAACTCACTCTTACTCTCACTCGTTCCACATACACGCACGCGCATTCCCGCGCCTCGCGCGCACCTGCGCGCTTTCTCGCGCTTCGCATTGGCCAACCAGTAGCGCCTTCAGTGCCTACTTCTAGATCCTTGCTGCACTTGCTTCCCCTTTAGGGTCGAACTCACTTGTCGTCTCAAGTATAGCAGACTAGGCAACACACGACCTTACAACACTTAAAGATACAGTCAGGAGCCTCATTTGTTTCTCTCAGTATTGTTGTCTCTACAGTGGCAGTGCATAGGATATAGGTGTCTAGGGTTAGGGTTAGAAACATGCTCTCGAGCAGGTACAGGAATATTGCACTTGGCACACTATTCAAGTAGCCTCAGGCCAGCCCAATTTCGCTGCAGGTGCAAGTGCAGTGCGCTAGCTCCGCCCTGCTATGCTTTTCACTCCCCGGCACCTAAAGAAAGTTATACAGCAAGGTGGGCAGAGCTCTGGGTGCTTCCGTGAGCCTTGGTTTGGTTGCCCACTCCTCCAGGAACTGCCAGTCCAGTCGGATGGCGAAAAGGATGATAAGGGAAGGAGATAGTTACATCAATCTCACAACAGAGGTTGACAACAGAATGTGACACAAAATGAGAGTCGGGATAGGTGAAGTTGAATTTAAATGGTGATGACCGCTGGACCGGTGTGCCCGAGTGATGTTTGAAGTGGGATGTTTGAAGTGGTGAGGGTTGAGTTTCTGCAGGATCATAGAGAACACATGGAGACCTCCAGCCATAGCAGAGCTCTCACCTGCAAAAATGAAATTAATTGGACACCAAATGAAAGGAAAAGCAAAAAAAGGTATGTGTAGTACAGACTTCTGCAGGATCACAGAGGACGCACGGAGACCTCCAGCCATAGCAGGGCTCTCCCCCGCAGAAGTGAAATCAAACGAAAACTGAGTTTGTGAAAAACGATAACAAACCACGTTTGAATTTTGAATTTTGATATTTAGCCATCTACACTCACATAAGTTCCAACTTGAACACAAAATCACGTGATAATGTGCACGGCCGAGTATTGGAAGGGATCGACTTAAGTTCGCACTGCAACAGATGAACGTGCTGATGCACCAAGACATGTGAATGCTGGCTAACAGGGCCGTGGTATTGTTAGTCATATGACCTTTCCAGCTTCTCATGACAAACTAAGGAAAGGGGTGATTTGTAAGAATGTTTGTGCAGGACAACATATGTGGGAAATATTTTCCACAGTCACCTAACATGTGTTGGATTTAGTCTGGGTCTTCATCATAAATGACTAAGCAAAATTTATTACAGAATTAAATATTTAAAAATATTTAGTCTACCTAAGTTCAGTTTGAAAATATAAAGAAATTCCCATCTGAACCACATTCTGACTTCAGAGTAAAGGAAGACTATTTCATAGTGATTTCTAGATTATCAGGCTGATGATAGAGTACTGGTCATCTATGCACCAAACCAGTTTGATGCAGGTCACTAGTTGTAACTAGTTTGTATCAGTTTTTCTTTTTGTTTGCTAATGGAAGGCAACTGCTTCTAGTGCAGTCTACCAACTAGTTTTTGTGCAGTCTGATAACTAGACTTTCAAACACTATTTGCATATCTACATGAAATGGAATTTTTCAATAAAATACTGACTATAGCTACTCATACCAATCCTAGAACTTATTTTATATACTATTTATCCACTTGCATTATACATCTTAGCAAGCAAAAATACTGATTGCTTAGAGATTGTTTGTTAAGAACATGCTCAAAGGTTTGGATCTGAAGGGCTCGGCTTCAGCTCGTATGCTGCGCCCCTTACCCAAGTATGTGCCCTTGACTTCCGAAGGCTATAGGACGATGTCTGAAGCATGGGAATTATGGCAGACATTCGGAAACAAGATAGAAGACTAATCCAGACAATATCCAAACTAGAAAAAAACAGTGGAAGACTACCGGAGGTAGAGGCGGAGATGTTTAAGTCAATAGGAATCAATCCTAAGACTATTGGAAGACGACAAGAGGAGAAACTCAAGTTGGACAGAGGCAGGAATGAGCAGAATCTAATGTGATATTTGAACTGAGGATGTACAGAGAATTTACAGGGTTTATACATACACTATGGAAACATAATGGAAGTTCAGTCAGCGCAATGCAAGGTTATGTATGAAGCATGTGGAAAGCTTATCAATAGTATAATGGAACATAACAGAATGAAGTTGGAAATGAAACAAGGTCCAGATAAATGAGTACAGTCGGATATGTAAATAACCGGAGGACCGTTAACAGAAACTAGCCAAAATGAAATGTACAAAATGAGAAGGAAAACAGAAGTAAGAAGCAGGTTAGATCCAGACATCTGGAAATGAGTGCGTGATCGGTCTAGGTCTGGAACACAGGATATGACATTGTTGAGAATAATATTTTTTAAGTATCAGCAAAACACTAAATTTGACACTACTCTTACAGCCATATAGGGTAGTACAGTCATATCTATTTGGTGTATTAGGTGTGCCCCTATAAGCATCACTCTATCACCCCATCTATAAAAAGAAGTCCATCACATAAGTGGCTGTCTGTCACTCTCCTTTTTTTCCTCATCCACCAGTATTTACCCTTGGCACTATCAGCATTACTCCTTCTTTGTCTCATGAGGTGTGGTAAGTAACTGTCTATCACCCTCACTTATTTTCTCATCCACCACTATGTCTTCTTGGAACTATTCCATTTTATTTTCTTTGTACTTGGTGTGGTCCTGTCCTATAAATGTCACCCTCTCATTCTGTCTTTTGCAGATATTACCCTTTCCGACTTGCTACCAGATGTATTACTCCATCACTCACACTTATTTAGACTTTCAGGTGTCACCCTATCCAAGTCTCTTCTGAATGTATCACTTTGTCACCTCACTTGTTTATATTTTTAGGCATCACACTGTCATTCTAAGTTTTTTTATAATGAATAATATTCCAAATCTCCAGCAGCTTTTCTACATGTTCTCTCTATGAGAGCACTCTTTCTACTCCTATATTTATGAGTCTTAGAATCAAGATCTATATATAACTTCAGCTATTGTAGCTAGGGTGACATAGGATCATAAGTACTGGTATCACTTAAGACATATATTGAAAGATAGAAACACATACAGCTGATATCATGTCATACATAGCTATTGTAGCTAACATTTAAACTAATAGTGCAGTGTGGGAATTGTTTGTGGTCCTCTATGCAAAGTAGGACTATTTCAAAACTTGCCTTCTTCATGTGATTGGCACTTTGAAGAAAATGATTAAGGTAGTACATGTATCTTTTATTTCTTTTTCTTTATACCATCACCAGTGACTTTAACTCACAAATTTAGATCATGATATACCATAGAACCTTGTCCTAAGGTTATTAACCTTATTATCATTATCTTTATGCTACAAAATATTAGTTTATAAAAGAACATGTGTAAATATCTGAAACATCTGAGATACCTATATATTCTAGGTCACCTGCTGATCTGTGAAACCTTACTCAGATACTAAAATGCACTATTTGATTTTTTTCAGCAAGTTCAACAGCTCATGCATGATATTTTGCCACACCTGTTTAGCTTAAGAATATGTCCAAGTATGGACTTCCTATGGATTAATGTAATGAGTTGTATAAGATGTAATAACTTATTAATGAATTCTTCTAAGATACTCGCAACTCGCAACTAGTGGAAAGAAAATGTGTGCTTTCTGCTACTCATGCCTGATTACATTAACCTTCAGGATGATCTCTAGACACACAAAAACACCATAATATATATCAGATATGTGGATATTTTGTATAGTCAATGTTGAATTTGATGGCATTCTTACCTATCTCACTGCTGCAGTGCAAAGCTACATAGCTAGAACATCCACTATCTTAGATAGTCATTCTTATAGGTTAAGCCTATCAAAACTTTTATTATATGATAAAACTATACTGCAAGAAATGTGAGCAGTTCTATCATGTCACAATAATACCATCATTGACAGTCATGAATGTGTCTAGGGACAATTATTAGAGGCCTATGTCAGATGAAAACATTAAGTATCCAAACTTTATTATTCAATTCATGAGGCTGATTATGTGTATTTACCTTGGATTCTCATTCAATTTCTCATTTGAGCTGTCTGCTGTGCAGACCCTATATCATAAGGAACTTATGATTGTTCTAAGCAATGAGAATGCCTCTCTATGTAAGAGGATGATTTTCTATCATAATTTGATATGGTTCCTAGTCAATACTAATTCAGATTTGTGTATAGGTAAGTGATGGACAAACTTCACCTCGACCTCACATAAACCTTACCTATTTGGGTTGCCATACACCCCTGGGAACGGCAAACTAATTAGCTTGCTTTTCATCAATCTCTTACACTGCCAGTAATTAGTTCAATAACGCTGAATATTTCTAACATGGTAACATAAGATATCGGCAATGTCCGCTACTGTACCGGCAACGAGAGATAACCTTCTTCTTTAGGCAACTGGGCGTCCCGCTCACGACCAAACCTTTGCGCTCGTCGTTGCCCACAACGAGCTCGAATATGATCTCGGAATTAAGTCTAAATTCACTCATTTCTTTCTATCTGTTCCTAACATTAACTATAGCTATAGCCATTATGCACATATACCGGCATGTCATCATAGGTTCTTTGTTTCGTTTAACACGCGCATGTGATCACGTGGCCTCTTTGTTGACTGTCAACCACGTTGAAGACATACTCTGGCATCCTCGTCCTACACAATGACCACAGCCAAACGTCGAAAGGGCATTTCTCGCAAGGTCCATATCACGGGATTCACGTATAATGGACAATATCGCAATGATATTCTTGGACAACGGGCAGTAGCACACGAGCGGTCTGCAGCTCAAGACCGTTATCGCATCAATACAACAGGTAAAGTCTTTCTCTACACTCAATATTCTGCTCACTAGTTCACTAGGCCTCAGTGCTGATTCTCTCGCTGCACTGGGGGATGTTCGCTCACAAATCCCAGGCTCTCCGAACTATGCTGATGACGAAGGGCCACTTGGGGAATGGGAACCGATCCCTGAGTCCTGGAATGAAGATGAAACGATTGTGCACGCCATCCGAGACTATATTGACAATCCGTGAGTTCTAACTTAGTAGCACACACTGCTGCTGATGAAAAAATAGTTGGAACTACCGTACACATAAAGATTCCCGTACATGGCGCAGACGTGTAGAAAACCTGCATGCCAACTGGGCCCCACTTCTTCCCCAACTCGTCGATCTGTTTCTCCTCTGGAAAGCCTCAAATTCAACTCATAGGACATCGATATCTCTGCGTTCACCATCTGAATATGACTTTTACATTCCAGTTGTGGACATATTCACACTCGACACCGAAGTTTTGATCCCACGTGATGCGGACAGCCCGTCTCCCACTACAGCACTCGTTCGTGCCGGATACCTGGGTCATGTGCCACATGCACCATCTCTTGCATTTTCACTGCATACTTTAGAACACTTCCGACTTCTACGAGCCCGCAAGCCCTCATTCAGTATCGAGGCATTTGGAAAAGTATTGTGCGATTCGTACAAGGTATGTACACGATATCCTATCATTCTTACACTGATGCTGATGTCTTACTAGATACCTTATCGACGACGCTATCGTACATGCTTGTCGGGGGCATTTGATACCTACCTAGCCATTCTCCGTGGTGTTGACAGGAAGATCAACGAAACTCTTGGCCGTGATGCTCCCAACTGGCGTGTTCTCAATGCCTGCCCCCCTTGCACTTATGAATTGGAGGGAGAGCCCACTCTCACCTTTGGATGGATGTATGTCCTTGATGGTGGGAACTCAGCAAAACGAATGGCAGAAGGTGCACGTAATTGTGGCGATATGCGGCAGTATACCGAGAGTGACTACATTCTTCCCCGCACTTACGTTGACCAGTTTGCCAATGAGGTGCAATCACGAAATACAGTGACACAATCAGAAGTCGTCCTGGACTCACTGGAAGCTGATGAAGATGCCGATGCAGACCCGTCAAGACACACCATTGCATCAGACTGCAGCAAGAACTGGAAGGCTGCTGCAAGCGATGAAAAGAAGCGGATGTGGAGCATTTTTGATGAAACAGGCATCTTTGTCTCTGCCTGTCGCCATGGCCTTGTTTTGTGGGTAGCAGATATGGTTCGCAGTGGAGAACTGTGAGTTTTTCAATGATCAACCATCCGTGCATTCTGACTTGTACATAGGGCCAAGTACCCCCTCGCAATTATATCTAAGGTTCTCGAGCTCCTCGGCGAGCGCTCTCTTGCTGCCTATGACATTGGCTGTGGGTTCGCATCAACAATCCGTGCCAGCAGCCTTGGAAAAGCATTCGAGCAGCAAGGCTGCCGTATCTGCGTTGATGCGTTCCATGGTTACGCACACAACTACGCATGTCAAACCAAGAATCATCCGAATGGCATTCAAGGCGCAGGCATCGAGGACTTCGGAGCCATCGAACACTTCTTCAGTGCATCTAACGCACTCGCTCCTGTCATCCGCTATGCAACTGCCTACCGTCGTTCTGTCTTTCTCGATCTCTTCTTCAAACAATGGGACGACGACAAATACCTGAACCTTGCCACAATGATCTACCACAACTACAAGCAATCTATTAACATTATAGCATCGGAGTCTCTTGCCCTCGATGGTGCCAAGGCATCGCTTGGCATCCAGGATGGTGATCTGGAGGCTTGGCGTCAAGAAGAGATTGAATATATTGCTGGTCTTGGCAAGGAGACCACGTGGGATATCCACGCTATGGCATATGTCGAGCTTCTTCATAAGTTGAGGGACGCGCAGTAAGTTATGTAGATGTCTTCTTTGTTATTTGTGTTAATCTATTATTTATTTTCATCAGGACTTGCGCAAGCGATGCATCCTTGCAGTTTCTATCTACGATGCCATCCGATTATCAATTTTTGTCCCCCTCACAGGACATGTCATATTCCGCCAATGTGTCAGCTACGAGAAAACTTGAAACTCAACGTAGGTACCACTCCGAACGCCTCGACACACTTCAACATGAGGTAGTCGCCTTGGAGGTCAAGATGGGTATCACTCACCGGTGGCAGCCAACCTCACCAGAGTATCAAGAAACCATGAAATATATGGCGATGCACACCTATCAGCGTGCCCTCGATAACCTCCAGCGCCTAGTAGTGCAGCGTCTATTTGAGTTGCAAAAGCTTAATATCTCTCAGACAGGTAAGTGTTTTGTGGCTTTCAATGACCACCTAGTGATGTGATTATTTAGCCTACAAGATGCGCACTCATATCTCGAAGTCGCTTCAGACGCGTTGTCACGCCATTCAAACTGCCATCAAGAAATACAATGAGGCAGCATCACAGCTCCACCCACCGCGTCCGCCGCTTGAATGGTCCAAGGTGTCGCACTACAGTTTCCTCGAGGAGTTCAATCTTCTCCGTGAGACACAGCAAGACATCCGCGACAAGATGTGGGCGAAACCAGCTATTCGTGAGACGATGCGGCAATGGCTACGCATACAGCGTGCGAAGGAAGAGATTGAGAGGTGCAATGTTGAAGTCCGGCGTTTGCATACATCTATCGTGGACGAAGACCGGCACTTCACTCGTGTTCTTTCTTCACTTGAAGACTCACCTTTATATTTCGCTGTTCAAGAATTCTGCACACACCGGCGGCTGGTCAACTCCCAGCTCCTTGACCGCATCTTCCAGATATATGCACTTCCCGGCTTTAGTGGGGTGGCCTCTCCAGGCTTAAGGAAGGGGCGAGTTGATCTCGATGGAGAGGGAGATGGTATGGACGGTATCCTTGTTGGTCATGAGCATGAGCACGATCATGATGGTGACGATGAAACCATCGAGGCGCTCGATGACGAAGGTGATGACATGCAGGATATCGGGACTTTAGTAGAATACCTGTCGGATCTTGCACTTACTCACTGATATAATTCGTGTACTGTAGAGTAGATTACAGTAGAAAAAGCACCGATACACAATGGAGATGAATTGCGTGAAATTGGGATGACTTGTGTAGTGTAGAGTAGATTACAGTAGAAAAAGCACCGATACACAATGGAGATGAATTGCGTGAAATTGGGATGACTTGTGTAGTGTAGAGTAGATTACAGTAGAAAAAGCACCGATACACAATGGAGATGAATTGCGTGAAATTGGGATGACTTGTGTAGTGTAGAGTAGATTACAGTAGAAAAAGCACCGATACACAATGGAGATGAATTGCGTGAAATTGGGATGACTTGTGTAGTGTAGAGTAGATTACAGTAGAAAAAGCACCGATACACAATGGAGATGAATTGCGTGAAATTGGGATGACTTATGTACATAGTGTAGAGTAGATTACAGTAGAAAAAGCACCGATACACAATGGAGATGAATTGCGTGAAATTGGGATGACTTATGTACATAGTGTAGAGTAGATTACAGTAGAAAAAGCACCGATACACGATGGAGATGAATTGCGTGAAATTGGGATGACTTAGAACTACACTAGGTAATCTACTCTACACTATACAAGTAGATTACAGTAGAAAAAGCACTGATATACGATACACAATGGAGATGAATTGCGTGAAATTGGAATGACTAGTGATTACAACATCTAAACATCTAATCAACTCAACTTCGATGTTCTATCATTGATCGTTGATCGATCATTCAACATTGAACGTTGAACAGTCACATCTTTCTCTCCTCTCACCATCACTCAACACTTTTCATGGGAGGCGCTGGAAATAACTATTGGGTTGTCTTAGGCGGACCTAACCCTGGTATTTTTCGTGAACAGTATGTATTATTGTCATGTAGTATACACAACTAATAATCTTGCAGACCATTCACTGCTCAACTCAATGGTGCCCATTACTTCCCTATCGCCATCCATTGTCGGTGGGATGAATACGCTCAAAAATTAAATCAATTTCAAACACTTTTGAAGGATATCAACGAATTCACACCTCCACCTGACGCTGCGCGGCTGTTTCTTAACTCAGACATGGCACAAGGAGTTCTTCGACGAGACCTTCAGTGCCATGCTATTCAGGGATTTTATGTCGTCATCTATGGATTTACGCCAGGCATCTACACTACATGGTATGTACTGTATTATTTTAGATCTTCAAGTATCGTGTTGATCAGTTATATATGCAGGGAAGACTGTCATGGCGCCGTATCAGGTTATAACAATGCAAAGTACAAGAAACTCACAACATTTGCTGAGGCCATGTCATGGATGATCCTGAAGGGCAAGAAACTCAACGAGGAAGAACCGGTTTGCACTACGAGAGCAGCTGTCTTAAGTACGTGTGGCTATTGCGTGTTTGTCCTATTTAATCAGAAAACTTATTATAGATTCCTCTGAATCTGGCTTCAAACCGTCCTCAACATCACATGGTACTGAGACTACAAGATCAGCTGCCTTACAAGGTAAGTACAGCTACCGTTTGCTTGTCCTACTAATCGTAAAACTTAACCTAGCCCGGTTAATTTTTGACTCTAAGTCGAGCTCACATAGGCAATCATCGGCCTCGCTTGGTGCTAACTTAATGGTCACACCTAAGGCTCCTCATACATGGAGAACAATGACTCCTGGATCAGTGTCACATGCCATCAGTGCCTCGCCTTGCGTCCATCAATTCATTCGAGAGCTTAGTGGAATCACAGGTGCACATTATCAAGCCTCTCCTCATGACGATACTCCGCTTCCTTCTTTTGGTGACATGGCTGACGGCTATTTGCAATCCCATGGTTACACTGCTCGTGCTGTTCTTTGTATTGCGCATGCAGTGGAAGTCTCTCAGTCTGGGGAGGATTTTGTTCGGGATATCTCTGGAAGGGGTCTTTCTGTCACTGAAGCGCGATGGCTGTGGCAGATCATAACTGGTGACAATACCTTCTGATTCACGTATTCCTACTTATCGCTCTATGTCATTGTTTGAAGTCACGTGGCTATATACATAACTGATGCTAACGCGAAATTTTCAGCATTTCTTCACTCTTTATTCAATGTTTATTCGTTGTTTCACACTATGAAATCCAAAAACTGGCTTGGCCGCTATCATACGAAATTGCAGAAACTCACTACTCAAAAGCCTCGGAAGCCCTGGCGCCACCGCAGCAAGGGTCGCTACAAGCACACTGCCAGCGAAAAGGCTGCTTTGAAGGGAAAACGTCTAGCTCATCGCATTGCATATGCTGAAGCTCTCAAGAATGCCCGTGAGGTTGTGCAGGAGCAGGCAAAGCTACTACATGAAAAATTCGGTAGTCATAGTGTTCAGTATTATCATGAAGAGCTCATGCAGCGTACTCGCATGGCCACATCATCGCGTAGTCCCTCGAGATGGAATGCATTTGTTCGCCGTGAGGTGAAACGGATGAATGAAGGTACATGTGTCCTTACTTGTTTTTGTTTGTTGTGCTCAATGCCTTGTACATTTACTAGAACGTCCTCCTGGTTCTGCTTGCCTCAAAGCTTCTCAGTGCGTGAAAGAACTTGCAGCGCGTTGGAACGACATGTCAAAAGACGAACAAAAGAACGAGACTACGGATGCTATCAAAGATCTTGAAGACCATCGCGAATCCAAGCAGCTTGCCCAACACAACGTGCCTTTGAATGCTTTTCAAGACGTTCGGAAAAGTCTCGACTCACTTGACCGTGAAGTATATCTTTGATTTTTCAACAATTAGCAACCATTGGTTAACGCCAAACAACAGATTCGTGCTTTGAATGCACGTACGGGCCTTGAGGTTGTGCTGCTCACCTCACGTGCAAACATTGACCACTTCAACCAGCCACATGTCTTTGTCACCGAGCGTGCTGCTGACTTCTTTGATGCATGCTTGGGTTCCTCCATTGCAGATATTGCAGTGCGCTTTGAGGCATTCTGTATAGCTGGGGTACAAGGTAAGCACCTAATCATATTCTCGTCGTATCGGACTGAGTTCTGCACTGTCAGGTCTTGCCAAGTCTCACCTTCAAGAAGTCCTTGATCTCAAGAAATCTATCAGCGAGATGATTTTACGAAAGCTTCGTGCGTCTCTTCTTTTTAAGACTTTTGTTTGCTTGTAATCTGACTTGGCCGATAGAGGCAGCAGCAGCCCCCACCAAAGTATCACGCATGTATTACCAAAATTTCGACACCTACATTACTGCGAAGCTGGGGGTCATCATCGAGAACTGGCCACTCCAGAAGTTCTGCTGCCCAGGGGACATCAGCTCACGCACCGAGCTCACTGTTTTGAGCCATGCATGGGAGTCGAATGCCACTCGCTTCCGCAAGCTCACAGATAGCGAGTTTAATGAGTGGGATAACCAGTGTTTCCAGGCTGTAATGGATCAGGCGAGAGCAGAGAGAGATGCTGGGATGGAAGTAGATGGTGAAGGACAGGAGAACAGAATAGAAGGATGCGACAATGCACCTCCGCTCGACTCTGTTGATGGTGTACAAGTCTCTAACTCCCTTCCTTGCCAGCAACAGACATCAACTCACGCTGTGAACGTCGTGACCATGGTGAATGGAACTGGTGTCAACATACCAAAGAAGACTCGCAAGGAGCGCAGTGATAAAGGTCAGAAGCGTGGTCCTCGAAAGAAAAAGAGCTCGGGCCAAGCTGCTACATTGCAAGGGTCTCCTGATGTAGGGTCTTAATTCTCTGGTCCATTGACACCATTATTGCGTCTCTTGATTTCTGTGCTTATTTTGTTGTGAGTGTTTACATACATGCCCGGGTATTATCTAGCCTCGTGATAATGAATAGTATCTTTTTATGCTAAGTTCTTGCAACTGTGAGAGCAGTCGAGCTCATCGTGGGCAACGACGAGCGCGAAGGTTTGGTCGTGAGTGGGACGATGATGTACTGGTATATGTGCATGGCTATAGCTATAGTTAATGTTAGGAACAGATAGAAAGAAATGAGTGAATTTAGACTTAATTCCGAGATCATATTCGAGCTCGTTGTGGGCAACGACGAGCGCAAAGGTTTGGTCGTGAGCGGGACGCCCAGTTGCCTAAAGAAGAAGGTTATCTCTCGTTGCCGGTACAGTAGCGGACATTGCCGATATCTTATGTTACCATGTTAGAAATATTCAGCGTTATTGAACTAATTACTGGCAGTGTAAGAGATTGATGAAAAGCAAGCTAATTAGTTTGCCGTTCCCAGGGGTGTATGGCAACCCAAATAGGTAAGGTTTATGTGAGGTCGAGGTGACAAACTTAACCTCAAACAAGTCATCTGGCTTAGAATATTGTGTGCAAATAGAAACTTTTGTGAAACAACCATCCTTATACCAGATTTTACAAAGTTTAAATATCTTTGCAATGTTACCTCCCTTCTTAAGGTGCTAATAAACAAAGATGAGGAATAGATTCAGTCTATTCAGATGACCATGAGTGAGCAAGCCTTCATATTCATTCACTTTCACACACTTATAATGTCTTTCATCTCAAGCTGTGTCACTTGTGTTTATGATTGGATGTTGTATCTCAGTCATACAACTATGTTTAATATTATGTATGAAATGTAGCAATATGTGTCCTCTTTCATATTCAGTCAAACCAGAGAACCCAATGTCTATGTCAATCCAAACATTCAATCTATCATAATAGGTATTTAGACTATGTACATAGATAAGCTGAGAGATGGAATATAAAGGCTTCTTCAGAAGTCAAAATTACACTATTTTTGGTTTTGGCCTTTTTCTGCCTCTAGAGGCAATCAGAATCAGACATAAGAATATGTTCAATGAGACAACACTTCAGTTCATTGCAGATGTAGTCAGGAGAACCACATATGATACTATAAAAGAATTTTTGGACTTACACTACACTGAATGAAATTCTAAAGAATACAATTTCTACAGTCGTAATCTAACAGTGAAAAGACGTGATACATGATTCACCAGAAATTCTATCATCATGTCTAATCACCTAAAATGGTAGGTCATTTTACTTAAGCAGGAATTTGGACTTTTGTTTTATGACTCAAGTAAATATAAGCACCACTATATATTATATTAACAGCAATATCTCATTTAACTTGACAGGTATTTAGCAAAACCCTACATCCATGTCAGGTACCAATGGGTATAATAACAACAGCAGTGAGTCCAAGCACCAATATTGTGCAAATTCAAAACTAATTTAATTTTTTAGTCATGATGTTCTTTGTTATTGTGTCACCCACTGCAAGTAGGTTTATTTAATGCAGAGCAATGCTTTTGAACTCCCTGATTCTAGTATTGTTGACAATGGACATCTTATAGACAGATTATATAGAAGAGTTTATGACATTTTCTCATTCTGTTGCAACAACTCATCAGTTTGAATTGCCTCTAATTAAATATTGCAAAGGGAAGGGCAGAGCATTTGAAGTACCAGTATGGACGCTACATAAGCATATTCTGTCATGCATACAAAGAACTCCTCAGTTGATAGTATCAGATCCTCATCTCTATCTCCTATTAGAGATATTAAAGGGAAATGTAGAGACTATAGAAGAGTCAAATTTTGACCATTTGTCAATGCAGCTAGAGATACCAGAAGAAAGTACATATCTTATAGTTATGTGCCTATAGATGTTATCAGCCTCTCAAGTAGTGATGATGAATTGAGTCAAGACAAAAACATATCAATCGAGGGCCTTATCTGAGACTGGTGCAGTATAAGAGCCCATGCAGCTCTTGAGACAGCTGGTATCCTCTGAGTAGGTATGGTTAATCATATTCTGCATCTGAGAACAAGTATGTACATAAGAACTTAAATACCTCACCAATGAGATTTGTGAGCTCCTCACATTTTTTCTTCTTGCTGATCAAACTCCCAAGATAAGGGGCATGCTCCATGACGTATTTAAACATCCGTTGGTAGTGTGCACGTGTGTGATCATCACTGAGAATAAAATTAACATGCATGTATATGCATATACACACTCAAACAGACTGACATGTTATTGAAGATATTTGTGCGGGAAATCTTGGTATATTCTTCCATTGGATCTCCATCCTTGGCCACTTTATCTTGCTCTAAAAGTAAACATACCTGGATTGCCTGCTTAAGATCATAGAACATATCCAGGCTATGTGGGATCCATTGTGCAACATACAGTGGCTCAAAAAAGTGTCTCAATGTTTATAACTTTTGATGTAATTGCTTTATTATGAGCCAGGATGTAGAAATATGACTAGGCCGTAGGGAGGTGTCAGAAAGCTATATTTCCCAGCCTTATTTATGTTCCCTATAGCGTGGGAAGCTGATGTCATCATGTGCAGATATGGCTATTTCAATTTGGTGACTCATTGAGACACTTTCTTGACTTTTAATTTGATCAATACAATCTCTATAATTATGATACTTTGTGTGACCTCCTTTTGCTCTAATTACTTCTGCCACTCTTCTAAACATGCTATCTATCAATTTTGAACATTTCTTCTTAGCACTGCTTTCTCACTCTGCTGCAACTTTATCCTATAGCTGAAATAGCCCCTATGATGAATTTTGATAGGCTGCAAGCAATTTCTTGAGTATTTTCCAGAGACATTCAATAGGGCTGAGGTCCAGGGACTGTGCTAGATATGATAGAACATTTATATCATGGTCTTTGAGCTGTTGGTGGCTGACTTAGAGATATACCTAGAATCATTATCTTATTGTAAGATAGTATCTTCCTCATCAATCTATGATTCCTGTATCCTTCTTAGCAGACTCTTATCTAAAATAGAGATGTACCACTCTGTATTCATTTTGCCTTTCACTTCACAGAGAATATATACTCTATTCCATCTTATACAGCCCTATACCTCTATGTTTGCTACTTCACACTTGAGAGTTTACATGTTTGTCTTTTTTTTTAGTAGTTCACCTATCTGTCTAAGATGTATTCCCAGCCATCTGACCTTATCATGTTTATTTTGGCCTTATCTTATAAGATAATCCTCTTCAGTCTTCTTTTAGTCTAATACTGGTGCTTTAAAGCTAAAGTTCATTTCTCCTGTCTATATGCTAAAGATGAGGGGTCTTTTTCTTCTTGATTATAACTTTAAGATTTGCTGCCTTGAAAGTATTATTGATGGTTTGAGTGAAAACAATGCTGGAGATGATGGAATTAATGAATTGGGTGGCCTTAGTGGCATTAGCAGCCTGCCCAGTTAGAACATAGTGAATGTGTGATCTTTAGTCATATGGAGTGAGCTTTCAATTTAGTCACCAACAACTCAAAGACCATGATATAAATGTTCTATCATATCTAGCACAGTCCCTGGACCTCAGCCCTATTGAATGTCTCTGGAAAATACTCAAGAAATTGCTTGCAGCCTATCAAAATTCATCATAGGGGCTATTTCAGCTATAGGATAAAGTTGCAGCAGAGTGAGAAAGCAGTGCTAAGAAGAAATGTTCAAAATTGATAGATAGCATGTTTAGAAGAGTGGCAGAAGTAATTAGAGCAAAAGGAGGTCACACAAAGTATCATAATTATAGAGATTGTATTGATCAAATTAAAAGTCAAGAAAGTGTCTCAATGAGTCACCAAATTGAAATAGCCATATCTGCACATGATGACATCAGCTTCCCACGCTATAGGGAACATAAATAAGGCTGGGAAATATAGCTTTCTGACACCTCCCTACGGCCTAGTCATATTTCTACATCCTGGCTCATAATAAAGCAATTACATCAAAAGTTATAAACATTGAAACACTTTTTTGAGCCACTGTATATGCACTGGTCACATGGAGTGAGCTCTTTGTGATGTGATCTTCTAGAATATCATCAAGATGAGATTCATCTGATCGCATCAAATGAAATATCTCACCTTTTCATTTTCTTAACCTTTCTTTTGGCTCTAACTGGGCTATGTATCCTATATGCCTTAGGTAAGCTCTATTTGAAAACAACCAATATCATTTGATGACTTACCTGGCCCTTTTGGACTTAGACCTGCCCTTCTCAGATGCTTGACACATCTTAGATGCATCTAATGTGTCTCTTCCACGTTTTCAGATATCTGGAGTGGTGATGTACTTGGGGGAGTACTGACTTCCAATCCAGAGGAGCTTATGGATGACACAGAAGAGAAAGAGGAAGATATAGAATCAGTGCAATTATGATGTGCCATAGTGGTGGGAGAGAAAGTTTGGATCTGAGATGTTGTAGGGCATGTGACGTTAATATTGATACCACTTATGTTTACTTGGTGATCAAATTAATACCCCCTGAATACATCTAGCTGTACAAACTTAAAAAAGGGGAACAAGCAAATATACAAACAAATACATCTTTGAATATTCATTGAGCATGGAGATTCAGGTATTGTCAGTTATGTTACTATATATATTAATATTAACATTGATAGACTTTAAGATTGGACAGTTGATATTACTACAAGATTCTGGCAGAGTTTTAATTAGATATCAAATGCATCAGGTCCATGTCTTTAGGTGACCTTGCTCTGCCCATTGCAGCCAGCCTTGACTTCAGAGCTGCTTCGCCAACAACAATCAACTCAAATATATTTAGGCAATGACAAATGGTATGTCTGCTCTCGTATGTTATCACACTAACCTTACTCTGCAATCTGATTCTTAGACATTTCTCAGCTGTAGAGATGCATATGTTGCATGTTTTTATGCTGACCACCTCACTTCCCTAGATGCCTAAAACATGACATAGATTATCATTACTGTTCCAGCAAGAATGTTTGTGAAAGGTCATTTTGCCATGGACCTCAAAGACTTCCATTGTAAGGTGTGTTCATATGGTTTGCACCACTCATTTAGGTATTGACATATCCTTACATAGATATAGTAGTGCTTGTATTTTGGATAGACTGCCTCAATAAATATTCCTTCCTCCCACCTGAATCTACAGTTAGTGAAGACATGCACTCTTCCCTTCTCTACATTTTGTCTATAGTCAATGACCTCCACTGCTTAGCCAGTAGCTCAATGTACACTAAACCTTTCTTTTACTGACCAAATCTTTGACTAAAAGCAAAAATTAGAGAAGAAGAAAAAGAGAAAAGACAAGAGGGCTTGTCGTAATGAGTCTCCTGCATGTGTTTCTAATAATGCTAATGTTCCAGAGCAGTCAGAGCTCCAGGATCCAATGTTCATCGACCACAGAGATCTTGACATCAATAATGTATGTATTATTTTTGACAGCTGTATTATACTTACCACTTATTTTTCCAAGTCAAAATGAATCATCTGCAATCTCTCTCACCTCTTCCCTCTGTCCCTGTTGTCTCTCAGTGTTTTGGACACAAAATATGCATGCCCACTCAGTTTGCAGACTTTCTGCCAGGCAGTACTACTCACCTTGCTCATATGCTGCCCAATGCTCATCAGCAATGTGGACATGATGTCTTTGCAAATCAATACATGGATTAACCTCCCAACCCCCACCCTTGTACACCTTCTCCATCAACACCCGAGCACTCCACCCTTGATCCATTTGAAACACCTCCAAATGATGCAGGTCTCTTCTGTATTTATCCCACCTATCCGAAATTGTTGCCCAACAATAACACACTCGAGACACTGAAAGGTTATCATCAAAGGAGATCAGCAGTGATAATCTATATGCTGCATTCTCTACTCCTACTGCCAACCTTTTAATGACCTATCAATATTCTGGAACTAGTCAGCAATCTGTTGCTGAGTAGCAGCAACTGATGACTTTTGTTGGTGATCCACTTTTTAATCATGTCAATGCTCTTTCATTTTCCCATACACAGGAAGCAAAGAACATTGATAGCTATTTACAGGATAAGGCCAACCCATTTTGTAAGGAATATGGCTGGCACTAATTGGCTGTCAAGATCAGGTTGCCAAAAGAGGGTATGAAGTGGCCATCAGAGATTGACACTCCAGAACTCAAGATCCCTGGTATCTATCATCAATTGATCATCAATGTCATCAAGTCTGTTTTCATGGATGATGTCGCAGCTTCATTCAATATGATGCCTTACCGTAAGTACTGGCAATGTTCTAAGGACCATTTTAATCAAAGTCATCTGAGAAGCTTATTCTAGCCCTGAGATGCTAGTGACTTTGCAGAAATACTTGATTTACCTCGGGAACTAGGGGACGAGTATGAGCGCACCATAGCTTCACTCATATTCTGGTCTGATGTCACCCATCTGGCAAGTTTTGGGAACACCTCACTTTGGCCTTTGTATATTTTTTTTGGTAATCAATCCAAATATACGCAAGGCAAACCAACCACCTCTGCATGCCACCATGTAGCTTATATTCCCTCAGCGAGTCTCTTAATCTCTTTGTGTTGACACACAGCTAATTTTATACTGATCATAGTTACCAGAAGATCTTCAAGATCAATACATGGATATATTTGGTGACCCTACTACTAGTCAAGTGTACATGCACTGTAAACATAAACTAATGCAAGTGATATGGGCTCTGCTGCTGGATGAGAAGTTCATGCATGCTTATGAGTATGGTATTGTGATAGAATGTGGAGATGGTGTTACTTATAGGGTATTCCCTCATTTTTTACACACTCAGTGGACTATCCTGAGAAGTGAGTACATTAATTCCTTTCCTTACAGAAGCATGCTAATATTTCACAGAGTCATTCTTACAAGCATCAAAAATCTCAGGTGATGCCTTTGTCTGTGCTGCCTCACACGGAAGGACCAAGTTCATTTAATGGGAATGAAGTGCAATATAAAATGGCGCATCAGACTCATGTGCAAGGACAATAGCATACTATGCCAAGAAATTGATGATGCATGGGTCCTTATTTTTCAGTCAGGCACATCAGTTGATGAGACTCGCATGAAAAATATACTCAATGGCAAATCATTGGATCCAACTCGAGTAAGTTTCTTTTTCATATAACAACTGTAACAGCTAATTAGTGTATTATATAGAACACCTTTTCTGAGAAGCTATCACCATACACCGACTTCAACCGGTGTAGGTATACAACACAGAGTGGGGCTATACAAAGATGGCTCCAAACTGATATCTTTATGTTGTGGTCTTGCACTGCCTAGTCTGCTATACTTGGTGAGACAAGTGCATTCAACCCAGGGGTCTGTGGTCTGG